GGACTATCAGTGTACATGTATACATTAAAAAATAAATGTATTTTTCATCATCATATACTGTGTTTTTGTCGCTCGAATGAATTTTATTATTTCTTCAAGGTTCTTCATATACGTACACCTTAAGAGATATCAAGTAGGCGTAATATGTTCTCAAAAAATTAGGGTTGGCACGCAGAAGAATTTTGAGTCAGAGATTTTGCTGGTGGTTTTGGCAAGCACTCACAAAACGGTTGCCCACCCTGTCTTTACATAGACATCGTCTCATGTATCCCCCATGAACTGTAGATATTATTAGTCTCATTTTGTAGCTGGGGAAATTGATTCTCAGAGAGTTTAAATAACTTGTTCATGCTCACTTGGTACTAAGTGGTAGAAGTGAAAATTAAAAACTCAAGTCTATTTGCTCTGTAGCTATTTCTGTTGGTTTATTTGTTTTTCTTTACCAGGCTACACTATATCTGTGCCTTCTCCCAGCTCCAGAGATAACCTTTAGGATTATAATCCTATGGACCACACCCCTATGGACCACTTCCCAATGGACCATCAAACCTTTTCCAAATAAAATAGAATACTCTGTGACAGGGGCTTAATTTACTCTTCTCTAAACATCTATTTAGAACCATCCCAATAAAGGGAAGACTTTAGTTTAAGGCTCAAGATTTTTGATTCAGCTTAAATTTTCCAGATTTTTAATGAGAGTTTAATGAGCCATTTCCAATCCTTTTGTGTAAGCTTCTCTAACAAAGAATTCTCCATTCCTAGAGGGCTGAACACATCTTCCTTAGGATTTAAGACACTGCGGACACTACCAAGTCTAACCTTTTCCTACAGGGATAAAAACCTGGATGGGGATTCAAGATGGTACTTATTCTTCTCATTAAAGTTTCTTTCCAAGTTACTTTACTTTTCTGAGTCTCAACTTATTTAATCGTAGAATATTAGTAATGGCAGCTGATCATTAGGCTGTTCGAGAATTGCTAAAATATCATATGAAAAGTACCTGGTCCAATAAATAAATGGGAGGCCTCTCATAAGGTAAAAGATTTTAGCCTTTATTCCTGTTCTATTTTGGGTGAGTGAAGTGATGGGTAAGGGGAATCCCAATCACTTTTATATTTCTCTTCCCATTAGCTAGCAACCCATTTTCTGGAAAACTTCAGGTCCTTTCCATCTTAGTCAGGCTAAAAGCCAGATGATGATAATTAATAATAATAATAATAATAAACTCTTATCTATCTAGGTATTATTACCATTGTAAATTGTGCCATGTAGGGGTCAAGCTAACATTTTGTTATTCTTCTGAAATGGTCTGTTGGGCCATGTCTTGTTCACATTAGGTCTTACCTGGATGACCTCTGGTAGTGCTCTGAAGACTGCTCAGAAAGTACACATTTAGACTGTGGTTTGCCCATAACTATATACCTCATCTATCCACATTTCAGTGACACTTCATCAATCCCCTATATTGAACTCCTGTCCTACAATTATTCAAATCCTACGTATAATCCAGATCCTGCTTTTTCTTTTGCTCTGTCTCAGAGTTATCAAGTTAAAGGAAGCTGCTTTCCAAGTCTGGTTCAACTGCAGGTCAAAATGGTCCCTTTCCCCTCCTTGCCATCTCACCACCAACCGCCTTCCAAGGCCTCAGTACTTACATATAGAGTTAGGCACAGGGTTGAATAATTGAGTGAACAATTGTTCCAGCAGGTTTGGGCACTGTATCAAGTGTACAAGGACACAGGCCATCTGCTTTGAATATTGACACTTCATGGGTTTCTCTTAGTTCTCTCCAACCTCTTAAGCACCAGCATATTCATGCCCATTCAATAATACCTCTTAGCTAGGGAATTCAAAATAGTTCTGTGTGAGTGACAATAATTAACAGCCCTATGAAAATGATGTCTCTGGATAAAGGGAGAGAATTACAAAGGTAAAAATAGAACTCAGGTGTCCTCACCCCAAAGGCATTGCCTGTAGGATCAGCTCCACATTTCTCAGCATGGACAATGGTCACAGTCTGGGTCTGTCATTCCACAACACCTGCTCAGATGCTCTAATTCCTTGTTATTTAGAATGTGTGTGTGAACCATCGGCATCAGCATCATCTGGGAACTTGTAAGAAATGCAGAATCGTAGGTCCCTCCCCAGATGTACTAAATAAGGACCTGCTTTTTAACAAAATCCCCAGGTGATGACAATGCTCTTTTCTGGGGACTATACTTGGAGTAGCAAGGCTCTAGATTACCTATCATCCCCTAAAGAAGTTACACAGGGTTTTGCCTCCAACCCTTTTCTCATATTATCCCTTCTGTTTACAATACTCTTGCCTACCTCTCTGTGAATTCTACACAATTTCAGTTCCTATTATAAATCATCAGAGCACCCATCTTTGCACTAAGCAAAAAGAATGATTAATAATAATTGTTTCTCAGACTCCACATATGCATTTCTAACCACCTGTACTTATAATTAGTTGCCTAATGTATTGGTCTCTCCAGCAGGATTAAGTTGTTCAACAGAGGGGGCCATGTTTATTTATCAATCCAGCATAAAATATGTGCTCAATAAATGTTCATTGAATAAATATTGACTAGTGTCATTTTTACATGTTCAATAGGTTCCAGAAGAAGCCATGTCATTTGTAAGACATCCCACCAAATTTTAACTTGGTGCCACCTTTAGCACACAGCAAAACGCTATGCCTTTGACAGGCCATCTTGACTCAGAAACTTAAGATGTTAAGTTTTTGCGTATGTACTCATCAATGTGCTGAAATAAACAAAAAAAATTTGTTTGCTCCTGATCATCTTGGGCAGGTGATTGTAAATTGCAGTGTGTAAATGTAACCCATCATTAGGAGCCTTAATGGTCCAAAATAGGCTCTGGCAAAGTTTTTCTTTCTCAGTCCAGGAGCACACAACAACAACCTTTGTGGATAGGTAAGTTGATATCCAGTAAAAACAAAAATATTTTAAAACACTCTTTGGGAATTGAAGGCATTGAAATCAATCATAAATTCATCATGTTATTTCCTGCTTCTCACCCCAACCTCATTCATGACTATGCTCTAACAGCTCGGTTATAAATAACTATGACTATGAAATTTTCCTTCTTCCCCAAGGCCCCAGCCAAACCCCACTGGGAATGAAAGGACTATGCAGAAACATGGTTGAAATTTCCCATAAGTTAAATTTTTTTATTACAGTGATTGCTGCTTTAAAAGCCAATTGCAATGCATATGGCTTACAAATTATTGCCTTGTGTAGGGAAAGCAAAATTCTATTTCTCCAAGTAGATGTGTACTTGGCCAAATCCTGTGGTGTAGTTTACATGTTTAGAGCTGAGATTCTATAACAATTGAGGTACCTGTTAAAGGTACCACGGACAGTCCTGGGACAACTCACATCTGTTCATTCTTCATCACTATGTGTTGTGACTGTGCTGGGTTGCAGCATATAAGTTATGGGGCTTAGTCACTGCCAATAGATAACTAGCAAGAGTTTTAGAATTTCAGGTTGAAGATGAACTTCAAGGTCATTTTATCTAATTCTTTTTTTTTAATATATTTTATTGATTTTTTTACAGAGAGGAAGGGAGAGGGATAGAGAGTAAGAAACATCGATGAGAGAGAAACATCGATCAGCTGCCTCCTGCACACCTCTCACTGGGGATGTGCCCGCAACCAAGGTACATGCCCTTGACCGGAATCGAACCCGGGATCCTTCAGTCCGCAGGCCGACGCTCTATCCACTGAGCCAAACCGGTTAGGGCTATTTTATCTAATTCTTGAATCTCCTAGGTAACATCCTACCAAGTGGTCTTCTAGCTAATATCAGAATACCTCCAAATAACAAGGAACCCATTTCCTCCCTAAGCATTTATGTTCAAGTCTTGTCTCACCTTGTGTATGCAGCCTTATCTCCATCTTTTTCTGTACCAGAACATTGCACCCCAGCCAAACACAGGCTGTGCATGTACTCCAAATAAAACATCTGCTTTCTCATTCTATGCACCCACTAGATAGGATTCCTCAGCTTCAAGCAACAGATCGTAACTCTCATTACCTTGATAAGCAAGAAATCTGCTAGAAGAACAGAAGGAAAGAGTAAAGAATCAGGCCCTATGAAGGGTGGACACCTGGATCCCGGCCACAGGCGCACCAGTGCAGCATTTTTACAATCCCGCCATCGATTAATCAGGTCCAGTGGTTTCCTAGCTCAGAAAATCTGGGTTCAAGATCCAAATTTTAGGGAACAGAGTCTGCTTAGTCTAAATGGATGCCACTCCTTGTCCAGAGAAAGGCCAACACCACTTAGGCCACATGCAGAAGAGATGGGGAGTCCTCCAAAGTAAAAGGAGGTGCTGTTACCAGAAAAAGGAGAAACATCACTGGAGTGACAAAAAATGAAAAAAATGTTTATAAACTCACATCCCTGCTTTGGCTCAAAGCTGGAAGGACCTCTTCCATCCCCAGGCAATTCTAACCGGCATCCTGGATACCAGCCCCCTCCCCTTCCTGGTGCTCAGTGCCTCTGCCTTGTTTTGTAGACAACCCTGTGGGTGTGCACATCATATTTCCCATACCAGACTGTAATTTCTTGGAGGGCAGGAACCAAATCTTCTTGTTCTTTTATCTGCATCAGTACCTACATACAAAGTACCTGCTTATATACTGTTGCTGTTTTCCAAAGCAGCAAAGATGTATATCCAGAAAGTAGGGTGAAGGGTAGGAAGCAGTGAATTACCCTGAGCACTAAAATGTGAATAATTGAGACTCCTTTATTTTAGGGTTTTATGATGTAGGGGATTTCTATTGGTTAAATAAAGATTTCTTTTTCATGATTGTGGTGTTAAGTAGAAATACCTCAACATATTAATATTCATCCTCTGACATTTCAACTACTATTCCTGTTCTTTCCGTCTACAACCAGTAATTATGCCAAGATCCAAGAGGATAAATGGGCATCATATTTGTCTCTGCCTTCAAGGAGCTCATCATCTTTGATGAGTGTGGCAGGGGGTGGGTAGAGGGGAAATAAAGCAGGACTTATGGTATGAGAATCTGTATACCAGAGGTACAGGCTAGATGCTCTCTAATCCTCTAGTCAGTGTTTCTCAAAGCACATCCTCAGACTTCCTGCAACAAGCTTCTCAGACCTCAGACCCCTAGCCTCATGCCTGGCCTATAGAATCAAGCATTTAGCCTAGTGCTTGGGCCTAGGAGGTGGTTTTTTTTTTCTTTTTCTTTAATTGAGGTAAAATTGATATAAACATTATATAAATTGCAGATGTACAGCATTGTAATTCAGTATCTGTAAGCACTACATCATGATCACCAACAAAAATCTAGTCACCATCTTTCATCATACAGTTGACCCCATTCCCTCAACCCTCTTTCCCTCTGGTAACCACCAATCTGTTGTCTGTATCTATGAGTTCGTTTTTATTTTGTTTATTTGTTTGGTTTGGTTTTAGATTTTACATATGAGTAAAATCATATGGTATTTGTCTCTCTCCATCTGACTTCTCTCACTTAGCATAATATACTCAAGGTCTTTCCAGGTTGTTACAAATAGTAAGATTTCATTATTTTTTATGGCTGAATAATACTCCGTTGTAAATATGTACCACATCTTCTTTATCCATCCATCAATGGACACTTAAGTTGTTTCCATATATTGGCTATTGTAAATAATGCTGCAATGAACATAGGGGTACATATATTTTTTTGAGTTTGTGTTTTGGGTTTCTTCAGATAAATTCCCAGAGTGGAATAACTGGATCATCTGGGAGTTCTATTCTTAATTTTTTGAGGAAACTCCCTACTGTTTTCCAAAGTGGCTGCACCAATTTACATTTCCACCAATGGTATATGAGGGTTCTCTTTTCTCCAGATTCTCACCAACACTTGCTTCTTGGCCCAGGAGTTTTTCAAAAGCATCCTGAGTGATTTTTATGTGCATGATATATTGAGAGGTACTATTCTAGTCACAAATTTTTGAGGTTTGTGTATGCAGTATGTTATTATAGGGATATTACAAAGCCCCAAAAAACCTATTAAAATTCCAGTAAAACAATATCTAAATCCCCAGTAGCTCATCATCTAATGAAATAAAACTTCCATGCAGTATCATACTCATTTTCCATGACTCACCAGTCACTGACATACATGGTTCCATTATTAAGCCCCGAAGGCGACAAATGGCCTATTTGACAAGAAGAGTTTTCAGACTGGCAAGTGGCTGCAATGTTGCCTGGCCCAGGCATTGGTGAGAAGACTCAGCACGGACGGTATATCCGGATTGCATTATTGGGTTTCTATTAACTCTGCTCTCTTAATATTTGTTATCCAATTAGAAATGGGCCCCATGATAAATAGGATTCCTGACACAGGGAAGATGCAGCAATTGTAATATGTATAGCTGCTATTAATATTATTTTTCATCATGGGTAGTTTCTCACTGGATCTTAAAGTCACTAGTTATTCTCCCTGTCTTCTATTTTGAGTATAGCAGAGGAGAGAACTGGAAAATGTGCTATTGACTCAGTCAAAGAATGAAGAAGTACAGTCTAATTTCCCCCCTTCTAAAAGCCCTGATAACTACCAAAAAGTGAAACTAAATAAAAATAGAAAGTCTGTCCTCTTAACAGCAGGTTGCAAATTTTCTGCAGGAAATGGAACAAGTCTGGCCTTGCAGGTAGGAAAGCTAAGTTTAGCCCCACACTGCCTCTTAGCAGATATGGGGACAAATCACCCACCTCTATACCTAGGTCTCCTCGTCTGTCCAACATGGGTAGCATCTCCCCCAGCGTTTTGGTTGGATAAAATAGTTCACAGATGCAAAAGTATTTTATATACTCACAGTCAGGGCTTCTTACCAGGGGTCCATGGAGCCCACGGGCCTTGGCCTCAGGATTCTAGTGAGCATCCTGACATTATAAATAAAACGGAGTGTGTACATGCACATGTGCTTTTTTCTGGGAAAGAAGGTCCGTAGCTTTCATCAGATTTTCAAAGAAGTCTATGACCTAAATTAGTATCCTGTTCCTCTTTTCTCTGTAATTAATTACCAAATGTTTATTGAGCCTTTACCATGGAATCTGTCATTAGTGGTGCCGCGAACCTCCGCTTCTCTTCTAACCCGTGAACAGTCAGGGCAGTTTACAGGGTTTCTGTTGGTTTGGGTTTCACTTTACAGGAGGGCAGGGGTAAGGGTCATGCACCAAGAGATGCCTGAGAAGCATTACTTCATCCCTGGGGGAATCTAAACCCACAGGGCTCTCTCCCAAGCCTCTGACAGGGAGGAGTGCAAGGCTGTCGGGCCTGTTCTAAGTCAGCATAACGTGTTTTCCACTCTAGCAACACCTAACATATGGTGTGTGCACTGATGCTTATGAAAACAGTGATTCATCCTTAATCCTTTAAAAAAAAAAAAAAAGAAAGAAAGAAAAAACGTCGACCCTATGTGGCCTTGGCTCTGCTCCCTGAATGCCCTTCTGTTCTCCAAAATGTCTGTGCTGTCACCTGCCTCCAACTGGTCCTGTTTGCTCCTCTGCCTTACCTTTCCTGCAGGCTCCTCCTGCCAGCCTTCTGATCTCCGGCTCCTTCCCTTTGTGTTGCTCTTTCTCTGCATCTGCATGGTCACTGCTGGAGCTTTAGCTGCACATCCAAACCCCCTCTGCAATGTAAAGACCTTTCCTCTCACTTCCATTCAGTGCCTTGCCTGAATGTCCCCTCCCCT